ATGGTTGTACCACGGTGCTAGTTGTTCATAGGTGTTCATCAATATTTCCATGATTCAAATTCTAAATGGACCACGCAGCCTCATAAAGATCACCACACCAGCTGTATTCCCATAGCATAGACTGATGACTATTGATATTTTTTCTAGCATGTCATCAGTTGATCTCAATGAGGCCACAGTCACTGCGGACCCTATCAGTGAGGATGTCTTCAATGACATCAGGAATGCCACGTAAGTAATATGTTGTGCATTTCTGAGGCATGTCTTATGCAAGTGTAATTTATTTTCCAGAATACCATCATTGTTTTGCTTTTATATAGTATTGACCTGGAGGACAACGAATACCCTTCAGATGAAGACTTTGGAGATCCCTCCTATTTGGAAGAGGATGACTTAGAGGGTGCAGACAGTTGAGATAGTGACCCAGACTATGTACCAAGAATTTATAAGGGTGAGTTTTAGTGCAATATGTAATATGTAATGCATTTGTGCATTGTGAATCAAGCCACGTTCTACAGAATCCAGGACCACTTCTGTGTCGACACCATCAGGGAATTTTGGGACACCAAAAGGATGGAAATAATCAAGCAACTTCAGTCAAAGCCGAGTGTGGTGGCCTTGGGTAAGTCTCCTTTAGAAACAACTCTGTACATGACTGCTCATTTAATCTGTGATTTCATGTTGTACAACCTCCCTGCTTTCTGCCAACAGGTGATGGATGGATGGATAGTCCTGGTTTTTGCGCTCAGTATTGCTCATACTCGGTCATGGAGAATGACACGAAGAAAATAATATCTATTGTCAATATTGATAAGAGGCAAACGGCCAGAAATTCAGTGGCCATGGAGAAGGAGGCATTTCTCCAAGCTTTTGAATCCCTTTCTGAAGATGTCAACCTGACAGAAATTTGCACTGATGCCAGCCCCCAGATTTCAGCTCTTTTCAGTAAGTTGTACTATGTATTGATTATGTTATTCTAATGGTTTGTGTTGAACCTTGGGTGTTTATGATTAGGCTAGTTGTGTGTTGTTCTTTAATCAGCTTGAAGTGTTTTGGGTTGGTTCTTGTTTTTTACAGATCCAAAGACGGGGAAGTTGAAAGATAGGGGGGTTCAACATTCTCTTGACGTATGGCACGGCTCCAAAAATCTGTCCAGAAGACTTACCACTGGAAGGGCTCACTCTATACTTTGTGGGATTGCAAAAAAATTTTGGATTTGTGTACCCATGCAGATGTACATTTTTTTTTTTTTAAGGCAGGGCTACAGAAGGGGTGTGCGGTTCTGCTTCCGTGGTGCAGAGACATTTATAACCATTTCTGGCACTTCTGCAAGACTGCTGAGACCTATGACGAGTTTTTTGTAAGTATTGACAGTACTATTTGCTGGTGTGCTGCTCTTTACTTTTTGCTGTTCATGGTGAACTTACCCAGCAACTAATTGGTATGAGTATGTAAATGCCTGGGAGTACAACACACAAGAGAAAAAGGTCAATCCAGAGCAGCCGCTTTGTGCCATTTGTGTGTTCTGTAGTGTTACACGTTATTATCCAAAGCTGTTGGCACCTTTGCACATTCACCAGTGACCACCTGTGAGTCTACCCAGGCTACTTTGAATGGCTCACTTGAGTACCATATAGGTAATTTGAGCAATTACTGCATTTGCTTATATTTCAGGACATGTGGGTCGGCTTACTGCACCACGTTACTGGGCAGCACCAATGGGCTCTGGGCAGTTGCCATCATGGTCCGCTTGAGGAGGCAAGGGAAAAAGAATGGATCGAGCCAAATTCTCAGGCCCATCAGAAACTCACTGAAGTGATTCTGAATGCATGTTGGTTGAAGGATGTTTCAAAGTTTCCTTATTTTAGGTGTGTAAGATATGTACAACAGATTCATGTCACTGTATGTGTGCAATATTTTTTAAATGACTAAACTTGTCATTCCTCCACCCCCACCGCAGATCAACTGCAGACCTGGAATCGTTTCACAACCACATGCTAATGTATGCCAGCAAACGGCAAAGTTTCACGTATGCCTATTTTGTGTGCCTTCTGTGTTTACAGAGAATCCTGAAACATCCTCATCTCAAGAGAATCAGCAGTCAAGAGGAATAGGTAAGGCAACTAAACCCTGATCACTGATCAGCATAGTGAAAGCACAGACCAAATACCTGTTTGAAGGTCATTTTATAAACCAGAGAAGGCTATCCAATCCAAAACAGTCTTATCTGACCCACTGTGTACAATATTTAATCAGTATGCAAGGCCTTTTTTAGACACTGCTTCTGTAATGGGAGGTGTCCAGGCCATTGCCTGACTGAAATTCAGGAACAGTGTAATATTGTCACACCAAAACGTATACTCACTGTCCACAGTATTGGCACTTTGTTGCCGCAAAGTGTCACATGGCTGGAGTGTCAGACAAATGATTGATGACCTTATTTTGTTTGTCTTTACAGGGCACTCTTGAGGCACTGACTGACACAAGACTGCTGAGGGCCAACACATTTGGGAATCTTTTTGAATACTGTTGACATTCACAATGGTGGCACTTTTTGAAATAAATGCAATGGCCCCAGTTTGTCATATTGTGTTGTTTATCTATAGTGTTTATTTATATATAGGTATATAATGTATACATATGTTATATATTAGACACACAAACTAATTGGTCATTAAAAGTAATTATTTATTATTTATTATTATTATTACTTATTAGTATATTATATTATATTATTATTATTTTGGTAGACAGGCTTTTATCCAAAGTGACTTACAAGGAGAATAAGTTTAGGAAGAATTTAACAAATAACTTACCTGTGCGTAAAATTGAGTGAACAACTGTGCCAGGGACAAAATACGAAGAAAAAGTATTTGAAACTATTTACATTTTACATGTTTAGGCCCACCTACACCCTGCTGGGGGGGACAAAGCCTTTTATACTGCACGTGTGGATCAGGGTATTTGTTGTCGTAATGCAATCCAGACGCAGCAGCTGGGTATAACCACCCTGTGCCTTGGGTCAAGGGGCACCATACTGCACACTAACATATTGCCTGTCAGGCAGCATATCTAAACTGCTTGGGTGGGCTCTTCGGCCTGGATCTGGGGCATCCTCTACGGCCCTTATGTCGTTCCAAATGTCTGGTGTAGAAAGTCTGGAGGACTCCTGCATCCAGAATGTAGACGGTCGAAGTGGCGGAAGGGTTGATATGCAGTTTTGGTGGATGTTTGCCACAACACTTGCGCTCCAATATCGGTTGGGATCTCCCTGCATCGTTTGCAGATGGCACCATGCAGGTTCCTGGTACTGGATTTGGGGTGCAGTACTTTGTCTGGTGTGTTGTTAAAATGTCAAAGATAAGGACTGGGATCTCTGGACAGGCACCTCTGGGAGGAGTAGGTGTCTTGTCGTTCTCTGTGAATCGTCTCTGAAATGATCAGATAGACATTGTTTAATTAGTTTCAAGGCTCAAAGTTTCTACTGTATGCCAGACGCACAGACTAGAATTCAACATTACAATTATCTATTTCTAAAACATTAATGTAGCGATCGAGTACGTACGTTTGCTCTGCCGCGAGCTGTTGAGCACCCAACATCTGGGACCCGCTGCAGATCCCACCATCCAGGTGTAGAAGGCTGCACCTTGGCTTCCCCGGTGGCCCTGTCCTCTTCCTCTCCAGCGGACCTCTGGCTGGTCCACGAGCTTGCACGTCGACAGGTGTATTGAGGAGGCGAAACACGAAAATTATGACACTCGTAAGCCATTTCCGAATATGTAATAGTTTGTAGTCCTAGCTTTTGGACTGCAATCTAAGTACGCTGCCCACGAACGGGCTTGCGTGAGGCATGCTGGCCATAGCTGAGCCGACTGGTACAGTGACGGAAGCCGTTCGTAGCAGCGCATAGTTGTGAAAGTCAAGACGAAACACATGTATTTAATTTATCGTTTATAATTATCACGACAAAACGATTTTTGTTATGTCGAGATAACAAATTAATAAGTCGTTATCACGAGATAACAGTGCATAAAAATAAAAAAAATCCATGGCCGTTCTCGGCTTCTGTAAATAGTACTAATAGTACTATACTATAACTTTATACCAAATAAGGTTTCCACCTATTTAAGGTTTTTCTTAATAGATAACTGTCAGTATTTAACCATCTATACACATCTATGCACTATGCTAACAAATCTAATTTTTAAAGGCTACTCAATAGCATTTAATAATAGAATACCTCAGATACAGAACATTTGTGTTATACTGAGTTGGAGTGCAGCTGACCAAACAGTAATTTTACTGAGGTGGTGATAAAGTTGGCATGTGTCTGTAAAGATTTTAATTTCCTCTAAATAAATTATGCAACATATCCCGATACTCCTGTCCCCACAGTTTCTTACCACAATTCTTGAAGCTTTCTTTTCACCCGTATGGCGCTAGAAAGAGTCAGTAGTTCATCATCACCAATGTTTGACCATCCAAGTCTAAAATTGGTAACACAAAGTGTGAAAGACAGTCTGGAGGCTTCTTTGTGAGATTTTGTTTTCTCAAAATAAGGATGATTGTACTCTGCTTAGTGCTTGTAATCATTTTTACATTAAAAAACAACATGGTTTTTTATTACTATTAACGAAAGCTTCTAAAATCAATCTGACATCTTACCCTAGGTGGGTTATACTTTCTGACTCTTGAAGCACATCAGCAATGACCTGAACTGTGTCCATGTCGAGGTGGTTTTCTCCAAGCCTTAAAAATGAAAAACTGTAGTTATTGCATAAGCCACATTTTCTTCAACCTGATAGTGCTGTCACTTCACACTTGACACTACATGCAGAGCAATACGAGTACCCACGTGGAACTGTAAAGGTTAGATAAAATAACCTAAATAAAACCAAAGATAAATTAAAGAAGACTCTGTGTAATAGATGGGTGACTTTATGAGACAATGTAAATAACATTTTATCTGGAACTCACCAAAGACTCTTACATCTGAGTAGCTGGGGCTGAATATCTCTAAGTGCGTGGAAGCTTACTCCTGTCCCTGTCAGATCCAACTCTGATATTTCACCCTTTGTAAGGTTTAGGAAGTAGTTGATGGTATTGTAATCCATTTGGGAGAGTGTTTCATCACTAACATTAATTCGTAATGTCTTTGTTTGTACATCAAGAGCCAAAGAGGGGTCCTGTTGCTCAAACAGGCAGTGTAAATGGTTTAGGATATGGGCCCCAGTCTCGCAGAGCATCGTAAGTTCTCTGATGATCCTCTGACGATAGGTGTCCACTTTTTCCTGTTGGCAACACAGACCCACCTGCCTAGACAGAAGATTAGCATTGCGTTCCGAAAGAATTCCAGAGAGAAAGCGGTTGTAAAGGTCCAAATGTTCATAGTTGGACCCCTCCCCGGGACTTGCGGTGTGCTGAAGTGCATCAGGTAAAGGGTGATCTGTCATTGCACAATAAACTGCAGCAAAGAACTCTTGAACAGTAAGGTGTGCAAAGGAGTAAACCTCTTCAGTGCAGCCAGGCTCTTGTGCCACTGTCTTGTCAAGGAAGGTACTAACAAGGCTGCATCCTTCTAACGCTGCAATATCTGGGTCGCTGCTGTAGAATAGTGTTTGATGCTCCATTAGTTTGTGAAAAGCGAGCCGACCCAGCTTCAACACAATATCAGACAGCTGCTGGACGTGCCCTGCTCTTTGCTCTTGAAGAAATGTTTCGGCTCGTCCTTGGGTGTGAGAGCGAAGCAAGGCCACCAGATACTGCACATAAATATCCGTCATGGTCTTGGGGCTCTCTCCACAGAGGTTTTTGCTTTCTTTGAGGATGCAGCACACAATGTAGCAAAATGCAGGTATGTAGCACAGAGTCAGCATTAGTTCATTCTCTGATACTACGGCGAACATGCGGTCAGCAAGGGCACGGTCTTGGAAGTAACGCAAGAAGAAGTCTTGAACTTCAGCCAAGGAGAAGCCGGCAATGAACACAAAGCGGTCAATGCAGCCCACAGGGATGTGGTTGATCGCCGAAGGTCGACTTGTGAGCATAACAGAAGCATTGGGCAGCAGTTCACCTTGCATCAAGCTCCCAAGGACCTCCACCACTTCTGCATCTTCATCTGGCTCAGTCACATATACGTCTATATCACAGCTCCTGTAGTGTCTGAACTCATCAAAACCATCCAAAATGATTAGCAGTTTGTTGTCATTCGCTAAAATGTTATCCAGTTCCTTTGCCAGGTGCCTGTTTTTACGCAAAACCAACTCCCGCAAGTTTGTAGGTTTGTCAATCAGATTTAGGTCTCTAAAGGTCATGTGGATGATGAAGTCAAATGCAAGACTTTCCTTGTTCCCCCCAAAATCTAACAGCATCTTCTGCACCAGGACGGTTTTCCCAATGCCCGCCACCCCTGTCACCAGAACTTTCTTGACTGGACGGTTCCCATTTGTGCATGTAAAGAGTTTGGCTGGTGCGATTTTCCGATGCACTGCTGACTTCTGCTGCAAAGATAGTCGCTTCTGTCCAAACGCCAGGACCTCATGTCTTTTTATCTCTAATCCCTGGTGTCCGTCGACCAACAAGAGACTGACATAATGTTCAGAGAAAGCAATTTTCTCTCCGTGTCGAGTGTTGTAGAAGAGCATGCTCTCACTCCGGCGCTTGAGGACATCTTTATGCTTTTGTTTGACTTTGTTATACTCTGCAAAATAAGATATAATATTATCTCTCACAAGTCTTTCTTTATGTCAACAGAACCTAAGAACATGATCATTTGATAGTGCTTCATGAAACACTATATAATTTATATGAACAATACAATGTTATTCTGAGTGTTTAACTCACAGCATTATTGTCATTCTAAATATTATATTAAATGAACCAATTACATCTCTGTCATTGAATTGCATACCTACAGACTGAGGCTGATCTGTGTTGCCTTCTTTGGAGTGCATTTGTGCTTCTTGCTGATGATGACTGCTAATTGAGAAAAAAATCTTTGCTGCTTCCTCGCCTTTACACTCCAGGATATCCAACACCTTTCTAACTCTTGCCCGTGGCCCCAGCTGACACAACACCTCCTCACGGTCATCACGAGTGAACACCTCTTGAATTACCAAGAGTTCCAGCAGAGAGTCAATGCGTCCTTCGAGTTCATCCACCAGAGAAACTCGCAGCACCTTGATTTTTGTCAAACAAGAATTACAACCACCATTTTCCTCCATAACTAATCTGAAATAATCCTCAGCACAATTCAGAACAGTCCAGGTATGATCTTTGAATCGCAGTGTCTAGATTCATGTTGTAAAGCGAATTTCCTCTCATAGTTCAAAGGCATCCTGTGAATGCACGTCCCTCTTTCAGAGCTGCGTAGAATGTGAACTGTATGTTGTAAATACAGAAAGGGGAAGTGCTTCCCCATCGAAAAAAAAGTGATGAGATGAAGTTGTGACATACTGACGTGACAGCCTTGAATGTCGTGTTCAACTGGTTCATGATAGAACCTCCCATATGCACCTTTGTGTGTTGTGGTCTAAGTCAAATTGGATGGATTAGTGTAAGCAGCACTTTGACTAGATAACATTTAGAATTTTATTCAAAACAAAATGTAACCCAGGTCTCTGAACGGAGTAACAGAGTTTATGTTATACTGTCATCTGTGTGTCATTATTAATTGCAGTAAAGATATTGTTGAGACTTTTAAG